CTGACCCCCGCGCTAGCTTGTCCACACGCTGCTTCTGTTGCGATTGACGTGGGACACAGAGGGCAGATGGACGCCCTGGAACAGGCCAGTTGGAGCCGGACAAAAATAAACTGCCAGGCTGCATCCCGAGGACTCCCTGCCGGAGGAGGGGGGGCCCAGTGCGGCTCGCAAATGCAGACACACTCCCGGCAGCACTCTTCCTTAGTCTTTGCAGGTCGGCTGCAGTTAACCTATTGCCGTTTTATTTACATATATGCATTTACCACATTATTTGTCATATAGCTTCTTGCAAACAGAGGTACCCTTTAAAGAAAACATTGTTAATTGCTGCACTTTCCGGTGGGTTTGGTGAATGCAGAGACCATAATACGCCGCCCCAGAATCCATGATCCAATCCTCCCCACACCCCTGGCCTCACCCATCTCCCAGACTAGGTGCGTCCGGCACTTTAAAATCTGCCAGAGTTACTGAAAGTGTCTGCTGTCGACATGTGTGTTGGTGTCACGGGGTGTAAATAGGACAAGATACACTCTTTGAGGAAACAGTGAGGGCAACACTCTAACCGGGGAGGTCGCCACTGTAGGGAAGCAGCGTGTCTCAGTGTTCAGGTGAATTATGCCCGCACGAGTTCTTAGATAAAAACACAAGGACATTTATTCTGAAACACCAGTGTGGCTTTGTAAATAAAAGTATAAAAGAACAACATTGTAGGTTTTGAAATAGAAGGATGAGGACTTTTATTCTGAAAACACTGGAGTGGGTTTGTAAATAAGAGCACGGAGACTTTATTCTGAAACCTCTACTGTAAAGCAGGAGTTAGACTGGTAATGCTGTCAGAGAAGACACACACAGACTGTGGTGGGTCTCAGCAGCATACAGAGAGGACGTGCAACGACTATCAGACTGGTGCAGAGCTAACAACTTATCTCTGATTGTAGACTAAACAAAAGAGATTGTTGTTGACTTCAGAAGAACATGAAGTCACCACTGTCCTCTGCACATTCGTGGAGATTGTCGAGAGAATTCCTTGGTGTCCATCAGGTGGAGAACCTCACTTGGTCCCACAACATCCAGCTCCATAGTCAAGAAAGTGCAGCAGTGCCTCTAGTTTCCATGGAAGCTGAGAAAAGCCCACCTCCCATCACCCATCCTCACAACATTCTGCAGGGGAACCACTGCGAGCATCCTGAGCAGCTGCATCGTGGTCTGCTTTGGAAACTGCGAGCATCTTGAGCAGCTGCATCGTGGTCTGCTTTGGGAACTGCGAGCATCCTGAGCAGCTGCATCGTGGTCTGCTTTGGGAACTGCGAGCATCCTGAGCAGCTGCATCGTGGTCTGCTTTGGGAACTGCGAGCATCCTGAGCAGCTGCATCGTGGTCTGCTTTGGGAACTGCGTCGCCTCAGATCGCAAGACCCTACAGCGGCTAGCGAGGACAGCTGAGAAGATCATCGGAGTCTCTCTCCCCTCCATCACGGACATTCACACCCCACACTGCATCCGCAAAGCCACCAACATTGTGGACGACCTCACCCACCCCTCACATGATCTTTTCACCCTCCTACCTTCCGGAAAAAGGTACTGGAGCATTCAGGCCTTCACAACCAGACTCAGAAACAGTTTTTGCCCTCATGCTGTCAGACTACTGAACTCTCTGGGACTGGTCTGAAACCACACACAAACGCACAGACACACACACACACACATACACACGCACACACACACACACACACACACGTACACGCACACACACTCATTAACACTATTATTTAACTACTATTTACTACCTAATTATAAGCATGTTTACAATTACTTTTATTTACCTTTTAATTGCTACCTCATTGCAGAACCAAAATGCACTTATCAGTATTGGGTTTACTGTGCTGTTTGTATTCGTTGCTGTCAGTCATCCTGTCCTTTTGCACGATCCTGCAATATTTGCACAGTTTCTGCACAGCATACACTCTACATTGCTAGGCTATTATGTATTATTCTTGTGTTTATGTAGCACCTTGGTCCATGAGAAATGCTGTTTCATTTTTAACTGTGTACTGTACTCAACTATGTATGCTTGTAATGTTCACCTGATAGAGAGCAGGGATGGATGGATGGTTGGTTGGATGGATGGTTGGTTGGATGAATGGATGGATTGATGGATGGATGGATTGATGGACTGGTGTCCGTTTGAAGAGTAGCACTGAGCTGAAGGCCTTGGGTTGGGCGTGACTGGCCACACCTTGTAATAACACATGTCTGTCCTCTCACTGGGCATGCTGGGATAAACCCATTAAGGGCTGGGGGGGGGGTCACATTCTGTAGTTGGGTTAACATGCACCCTGTCATCAACATGGACAGCTGTCTGAACAGACAGTGCCTTGTTTTAATCTTAATTATGTGGCCGGGTATATAATTTACATATAATTACTGAATGATTTAAGGAGACCATTAAAATCTCGTAGTGTTACACTGACATTCGATGCAGTGCCGGTTCCAGACTATTTCTACTGGGGAGGATGGACTGGGGAGGATGGACTGGGGAGGATGGACTGGGGCCAGTTGCCCTGTTAGGGGCGGCCAGATGCATTTGACCTTTATGTCGTCCAAGTACAACTTTGTTGTTCAAACCTATTTTGCCAGCATTAAGAATCAAAAGACAATTTTGAAAACCGATGTCATTTATGCAAGTCTTTGCAGTTTCATTTCCCCCCCCCAGAACCCTGATTCGACGCATGTTTGGTGTATTTCTTTTAACCTGCAGGGGTCAGTATTTTCTATACTAAAACACCTCTAAAAGCAGATCAAAGCAGACGGCTGGGAGACGTGCAGCAGTATGAAGGACAGTAATGAGTAATGTGGCCCCCGCCTTCCTCTCCCAGAGCAGGATTCTTCAGGCTGCTTCACACTCTCGCTTTCTGAATAATCTAACATTTTATTTTCACCAGATGTCCAAAGAGAGCAGGAGCCTGCTCCCAATAAGACCATGCCGCTCCCAGTATGCGGCTGCCACTCCCAGTAAGACCCTGCTCTCCCAGTCAGATGGGGCCGCTGTGCACGTTCTGCCGCCACGTTCTGCTGCCACGTTCTGCCGCCACGTTCTGCAGGCCGCGCGGCGTCACAGGCGTCCAAAATGACAGCCGTCGCCTTCAGCTGCTCAGGCATTTTCTGGACGCAGACGCTCACATCAGAGAGGGCCAGCGCTTAACGATGCTCTTGGAAATAACGAGGAGTGTAATTACACTGTTGGACTGTAAGAAAAAGGCTGAATTTACGCTCTGCCCAGACGGCCCCCTCACAAAGTACTCACAGCATCTCATTTTGCGTAATTAGGAAGCTGGGTACACAGTAGTGCTGAGGGGCGCTTTAGCCGGCGAGTCGGCTTATACGAGCCCTGCTCCCGAAAAGCGTTTTACGAGGGGCCATGCGGTCCCCTCTCCCACAGACCCCAAAAAGAGGCCTGCTCTTATGCGACCACCCGCTCCTATGTAAAGGATGCCCTTATGCGACAGGAAGACTTTGCACCCATAATATACAGCAACCCTTCCTGTATACAGTGTTAAACTTCACCCAGTGAAATTCCAAAGTGCATCATCTTCATTCTGAAGAGTGAGCCGGCATACTGTCTGCATTTTGCTGCATGCCTGGTGTCAGTCACTGTCTTATGAATTTATTTCAGGTATTTGTTAATTTTGAAGGATGCTAAATGCTAATGGTGCAGCATCCAGTGCATTAGGTATATATATAAGGGTATATATGAGGATGTATTCAGGGACATATAATAATTGACACATATGGTGATATATAAATGGATATATACAGGGAAATATGCAGGGATATATGCAGGCTGCCTCCATTCGCTTAGATGATACTGGATACACACTAACATCTATAATTGCAGATGGCTTATAGCAAATGAATGAATAATGTGGATGCATAATGAAAATGTCATCATTTATCCTTATATGCAGTGTGTCTTTTGGAAGCCTGGATTGTCACAAACAAGCCTGGGACAAAACCGTAGGGATACAGGTCCTGCTTAGAGATTCAGGGAAGGTCATTCAATATGGAGAATATACTGTATATATGCAGAGGGAAGGATCAGAATCATACAGGGACTCAGACTTCAGGACATAGAGCAGGACTCCTTGTTTAGCTTTGCTTGAGGCTTTTACATACCCCCCCCCCCTTTTCATTTACCCTATAGACAGATCCTTACAAAAAGCTGAGAATACCTGAGAGGATCCCTGACGGAAATGTCCCTCCTTGTAAATCCATTCATCAGTGTAACGTGCACATCTAGCCTGCGATTACACTTTTAATATGAAATGTTTAAAGCAGAATGGAGGGTTTAATTCTTACGCGACAGGTAAGGCCGCACGCCTCGTTAGTGTGCTGGAAACGGTCCTCGTTAATTAGCATGGTGAGTAACCCCACGATGTCCGGCAGTCCAGGACATCAGCTTCCATTCCAGGAGCTCTAAAGCAGCACTGGTCATGTGTGCATCTCTACATCTCAGGTTAATTATAAACTGCCCCCCCAGACCCGAAAAGGGAACATTTTACACTGAGGAACTAAAACGGGTTTTAATCTTACACTAACACGGTTCATATTATAAACGGCCACTGGATATTCTGGTTACTGGTGAAAAGGTCACTTTATTTACAGAGAGCTGTATTTAAACCTGAAATCTCAGAGGGGAGGGCACAGATACTGTCAAGTTTAAGAAACTAAACACACATTTATTCTGGCTGCCTCAGCCCACTGCGTCTGGAAATGCGAGCTTGCTGGATTACAGGTGTCTCATATGTCTCCGGCTTATTCTCCTCCTCATATACAAACACTCCTGAAGCTCAAACAGAGACAGCAGGCAGCGACACGCCAGTGGTCAGCGGAGCACCCTCCCCAGACGAGATCCTGCCAGTGAGAGGCACTGGGATACACAGGCAGAGCCACTCTGCACGTGGAGAACATCTCAGCACCTTCTGAAGAGCGAGGCAGCCCTTACCTTTGTAGGAGAGCTTCAGCCGGGGCACGTTGCTCTTGTCCTGCTGTGGTGCCGTGCTGCTGGATGGGGACACCCCCCAGAAGAGCAGTCCAAACCCCAGGAGGTAATCCATGCTGGCGGCCCTGGGGCTTCACGGCGAGCCTTCCAACCCAAACGGGTCCCAGAACCTGGGGGCTGACAGGTGACTTGGCTCAGTTTCTCGGCAAGGGGGACGAGGAGGTCACATCACTCTCGGCGCGGGCAGGAACAGGGGATGCGGTGGGGGGTGACCAAAGAGTCGGGGGAGCGGCGGGATCTGCGGGGGGGGGCTGACCGGGCTGCCACAGAACGCCTTGCCTGACTGTGCCCACCGAAGCTGCCAGCACCAGCGTGCACTTTAGTTAAACTGTCCCTCACAGCGACTAATCCTGTGCAGAGCCAGAGCAGAGTGAGAGAGCACTGCTCACCATCCACGGGAGGGAGGGAGCGAGAGAGAGAGACGCTGAGCCAGTAAAAGAGGGAGGGAGGGAGAGAGAGCACGGGAGAGAGCGAGAGAGAGAGAGACTGGACGAATAGAGAGGGAGAAGGCAGAGGTCCTGCGCCCAGGTTCTTTTTCTAGATTTTCTTTCCTGTGTGTGTGTCTGTGTGACTATGTGTGTGTGTCTGTGTGTGTGTGTCTGTGTGTGTGTGTCTGTGTGACTATGTGTGTGTGTCTGTGTGACTGTGTGTGTGTGTCTGTGTGTCTGTGTCTGTGTGTGTGTGTCTGTGTGACTGTGTGTGTGTGTCTGTGTGACTGTGTGTGTGTGTCTGTGTGTCTGTGTGTGTCTGTGTGTGTGTGACTGTGTGTGTGTGTCTGTGTGACTATTTGTGTGTGTCTGTGTGACTGTGTGTGTGTGTCTGTGTGTGTGTGTGACTGTGTGTGTGTGTCTGTGTGTCTATGTCTGTCTATGTGTGCCTGTGTGTGTGTGTAGTGTGTGTGTCTGTATGTCCACAAAAGCTCTTCTTTTTTATTCTTTTCTTCTTTAATATAACATCTTTCCTGTCAGGTTGGGCCCCTGTCATCTCCCCAGGTCTCCCCCGTCACACACAAGAGGTCCCTGGCAGGGGTGTGACCGGCACCCCCATGTTAAATGCTTTGATAAACACTGCCCCCGTTTGCTATAAAAAGCCCCCTCCTCCGCCATCCCACCCTCATGGAGAAGCTCCTCAAAGTGGTCAGACAGATAAAAGTCTCTGCTTGGACCCTCAGCTTTATGGTGGACAGGAAATTTCGGGAAAACATTGGCAGGAATGGTGGCTGCTGGGACACTTGTGCTGATACCAGGTGCCGAAAGGTGCAGAGATACAATCAAACGCGACCTTTTGGCCGCTCATGGTTCCACTTCCCAACAGACAGGGGGCTGGACACTTCAGGGACATCGTTTTAGCTGTCCGTCACAAGCTGATGAAGACCATCCACGGGACTGAGTGCAACAGGAAGTGCAGGGTACTTCCGGCATGACGTCAATCAGTTGGTGGCCGTGCGCTGGATCCCGTCTGGACACCGGGAATAACCCACACTTATGGAGGAAAGCACAACGCACCTGGTCTGGCCTGAATGCGAGCGGTCCAAAGTTCTGGCTAAGTTGCACATATGCAGATTTTGGGCTTTTCATCACAAAGTTCCTGGGACAGGTTTGTTATTTTTTGGGTCCCACTCAAAAAGTCACAGTGTAGTGATAGTTTGCGGCCAACAGGGGGCCCCAAACCTTGGGACCCTACACAAATGCATGTGTTCCTGTCCAAATAGGACTGCAGTCATGGATAATTCCAGCTGAATTCACAAAGCTTAGATATTGAAAAGGCCTTGTGTTGCTAACTGTGACCTACAGCGCAGGGACTGTTTTTGCACAGTAGATAAAACACATCAGCTTCCTGAGGGAGGTGCTCGTTTCCTGCCCCTATCAGGGTGTAGCTTTGGTAACAAAGGCAGCTCTGCCATGTCAGGAGGTCTGTGTCTGACCTGTTTCGCTCGCTGCCCCCAGGGCGAGCTTGCGAACCCTGTTCTGCTCGCTGCCCCCAGGGCGAGCTTGAAGACGCCATTTCACTTGCCGCCCCCAGGGCCAGCTTGCAGACCCCGTTTCACTCATCACCCCAGGGCCAGCTTGCGGACCCCGCTTTGTTCGCCGCCCCCAGGGCCAGCTTGCAGACCCCGTTTCGCTTGCCGCCCCCAGGGCCAGCTTGCAGACCCCGTTTCGCTCATCACCCCAGGGCCAGCTTGCGGACCCCGCTTTGTTCGCCACCCCCAGGGCCAGCTTGCAGACCCCGTTTCGCTTGCCGCCCCCAGGGCCAGCTTGCAGACCCCGTTTCGCTCATCACCCCGGGGCCAGCTTGCGGACCCCGCTTTGTTCACCGCCCCCAGGGCCAGCACGCACCGGTCAGAAAATCTCCATTTCTTACTTCCAACATGTGGCCCTTTACACAGCAAATATCACATCATACCAGCGTGGTGGAACTGCACGGGGCATCGTGAGCTGCTCAAACTCCACCCACATCAGCTATAATAACTTTAGCAGATTTCCCAGCTGGGGCCAGAGGGAAGTTAATTAGGATAAAGGGACTGGGGGTGGGGGGGGGGGGGCTGGTAAGCAGGTATCATGTGTCAATCTAGTACGTCCTGCGTCTGGATGGGGACCAGGAGGGTAAATCAGGAGTGAAACCTGATTGCACAGTTAAAGCCTAAAGCAGCGTGATGTTTTCTTCCTGTTCTTTTAATTAAAAATAGAGCTGGACAGGTAATTTTGGAAAAGCGGGGAGGGGGAGATACACTGTAAGGGGAGCAGCAAGTCCCTCCTGCCTAGAGCCCGAGGAGGGCGACTTCAGCCCCTAGGCCCCCACTTACCCATACCATGGGAGAAGCTTTCTCAGCGGTGAGTGTGGCACACCCATTTATCTACTCAGCCACTAGGAGGCATGACTGGAAGATGTTTGGCTGAGCAGCGCATGGCTACTTCTGTAATGTGCTGCCATTTCAGATCAGTGAGTTCAGAATAACACGCACTGTGCAGCAGGCTGGCTAGGAGGCATGTCGACTGCTGTGAGTCCGTCCTGCCCTGTGGTCATGATGAGCACCGTCATCACATCTCCAGCACCCACATGAGTACAGGCAGCCAGGGGACACCCCAACACACACACACCCCCTCCCCCAGTGAATCTCTTTGTCAAACACAGCTAGATAATTTAGCATTTGGGTCAAATAAAAAGCACAGAATGTTTTGGGGTCCATCTTCAGACCGGCAGCTGGCAGCACTTCCCTCCTGCTTCAGACATGAAACCCTAAAACGAGTCACCTTAATGACACGATATGCCTTTGTATGTCATCTAACAGGAGAAGAAACATTTTCATTAGAAGCATATTTTTTTCTGAGGAGACGTTGATTCTATTTTACCCTTAAATTGATATAGACAAACGTATGGCCTGGGCAATGGAGTCATGTCTGGATGTTCCTGAGAAAAGCAGAATTAATTCCAGACACAAAAACCATCTCATCCCAGCTCCCACAGAGCAGCTTCATGGTGAACGGGGCTGAGATAACTAGAGTCCTCATGAGCCTCTCGGTAACCCAGCCGCTAACGACACAGCACAGCACAACACAACACATCACAGCACAGCACAGCACAGCATAGCACAGCACAGGTGGCCATGACGCGGAACCTCCCATGGCAGAGCCAGCACACACATTTGCAGCGTGTTATACAGGACTACGCTCTCACAAATGCACACTGCTTTGGATGGAAGCATCTGCTAAAAGAATTATGTGTACATGTATGTGTGTCTGTATGTGTCTTTATGTATACACACATATAAGTGTGTCGGGGGACTTCAGCTGCAATTATATTTTACAGATGATAAACTACACAGCATTTCTGCTTCGGTGACGTTGAAATGAAGTGGTTAAAGATGCAGACGGTTAACAGAGGGTGATGAATGCGGCTTTAAGAGCTGCTCCTCCTGGCCGTAACTCGATCCACCTGAGGCTGGGCGGCCGGCACCTCTGACGCCCCCCCCACCGCATCTGGCTATCCTGCTTCACGCCTCTACCCCGGCATCTGGTTACCCGTTTCCAGGGATACAGGATACACCTCCGGCAGGCCCGTGGCTGTGATCTGGCCCAAAAACTAGAGGGAGGTGCCTTCCATGCCCCCCCCCAGCACAGGGTAGGAAGCCCCTCTCCTGCTCCACAGCCAGAGGATTCAGCTGCTCCCGGTGAACTCCACCCCCAGCTCTCTCTCTGATAGGGCGAGGCAGTGGTCCGCCTCCGGAGAATGTCCCCCCAGCGTGACCCCAGAGGATATGGCACCTAATTCAACACACCTCAAAAAGGCCCTGGGGGCAGGATTACTGCAGTTACTCTGTGGGGTATGCTGCACCAGCCTGTGTGTTTGTGTGTATGTGTGTGTGCGTTTTTTGTAATTGTTACATTCTGGGGACCAGATTTCCCCACAATGTGTTAAATACCTGCTAGTTTGACATTGTGGGGACTATTTTTTCGGTCCCCACAAGGGGAAACACAATTTTGTAAGATTCTGTGACTGCAATGAAAAGAACTGAAAATGCCAAAAGTCTTATTCTATTTGGTTACTTATGGTTAAGGTTAGGGGTGGGTAGGGTTAAGGTTGTCATTGTTGGGATTAGGGTTTTCCCCATAGAAATGAATGGAGAGTCCCCACAAAGATGCGTATTTGTGTGTGTGGTGGGGGACTTGGAAGATGAGGACTCACACTAATTACTCAAGAAATTGGCAACAAATTTCCAAACTACTTAGGAAATCTGTCACACTTTCACAAATGACATGAATTACCCTGGAAGCTTGTAAGATCTTGAACTGTTTACATCGGCATGTTTGTTGACAGATATACCATTATTCTTGGTCGTGACACAAAAAAAACATAGTAAATCTCAGCTAGGGGAAAGTGACGGCACACAGGAGCCTGGGCACTGGGAGTCTGCTCGGCCTGGGAGAAGTTAGATGTTTACATGCTGAAACATTAGTTTTCTGGCTCTGCTGGTTCTTCTCAGAGATGCTGTCCAGCTGCACGGCTTTAAGCTGCAGGTCCGACGCCTTGAGTCCACTTGGTGTGCCAAGGCCATCATGGCCGGTGTCCCGCCCGCCAGCCTGCGTGATGCATCTGGGTCTGAGCATTCGGCTCTCTTTGCTCCTCCACGTGTAACATGCCGTAGTTGTCTGGTCTGTGTGTGTGGTTTTGATTTGCTCTTCTGTGTTACAGGTCACTCCGTTGGTGCAGATTGATGACGTCTGGGGCGGAGACCTGCACGGCGGCGTCAGCATCTAGCAGCATGGCGTCTGGCGTCCGTGCTCGATCCTCGGTTTTATTCTCCTTTTTGATTCCTGCAGATGTTTTCTCGTTTGTATGGTTTATAGATGCCTTTGTGCTTAACGTTGGTGCACGTTTACACAGTGATGGCTTACAGTAAGTGCGAGAACTTTTATCCTAAACGACGAATTGCTCATTGTGGTAACCAGGATACCGGTGCCTGACTCCTAAGGTGGTGGGGGCTCAGTTTGGAATGAGCGCATGTACATTTACCACAAGCAGAAATACTGAATGTCTAGTCACATCAGTTTAGGGGCAGGCAACCTATGTACTTTTGGTTAGGACAGAGTAATTCTCCTTTGGGGATTAAATGGACAGGTAGGTTATTTAGACCCTTTTGCTTATTGCTTTTCTGTGACGATGCCTATAGCCTCTCGCCGGTCAGGTATTGTTTTTGCCCTTGTCATTTGTCACTTTACTTGCCACACACGTTAATAAAAGCATATCTTTCTGTTTTCATCTTACGTTTTGGTGTCTGTGGTGTTTTTGGTCCTAACCCAAAATAACAACAATGTTAATCATAGACCAGACCTGGGATTGTAACAGGGAACAAGCTAGGACCTGTACGGCCAGCAGGTAATTACCTTCTGCTGTTAACCGCCCCCCCGGCCTCGTACCCATAATCCCATGTTCCTGATCTGCAAGATCCAAAATACAAACTATTCCTCCTTCTCCATGCTCAGTCAATCCTAATCAGACACATGCATGGAGAATTCTGGGCACCCTTTCTCACGAGACACATGAGTGCGTGCAGAAGGGGGCACTTTGTGGCTCAGCGGGTTAGGACACTGTTTCTGTGTTCAGATCCCAGCATTGACAGACTGATGTCATCACGGTGTGGCTCACCTTTCTAGACATGCCCCCATGGTGAAGTACGGTCTGTTTGGTGTCGAACCTGGGGAGGGCGAACACAAGTGTAACCTGGAATCAACAAAATGTCTTTAGGAATAACATGGTGATGGGTTACCATGCCTACAGGCCTTCAGCACAGCGGTCAGCACCACTGCAAGGCATCCAAAAATGTCCAGGTTAAGATAATGGTTTATCTGTGCGCTTCGCTAGTGTGAAACCCAGGGTTTGGCAATAAACATTCCAGACCACAATGCTGGGCTGAACAGACAACAAGAATCTGGGCACCTCAAACAGCAGAACAGAGTTCAGAACAGACCAGATCTTTATTACTGGATTCTCTTTCCAAGAACAAATGCGAAAGAAAAAAAAAACAAATGAATTCTGCACCTGTACGTCTCTTTAATAAAGATGTCTGGGTCCCAAATGGTGACAAATTGAATTTTACACATCTGTAAAAGTCACCTTCAGTGCTTTTGAAGTTTTCATGCGAGGGCATATTTCCACTGTGAAATTCAGTAGGAAATACTTCAGAAAAAGCACATTTTGGACAGTTTACGTTGGTGTCACTAAAAGGAGCAGGCAGAATGGAGGTTGCAGGGGCTTCATGACCCGTTTGCACACGCCAAACACGTGGGACGGCAAAGTGACAGATTACCTTCCTCAAGAGTGCTTTTACCGCAATTATCAGAGTTTACACCCGGCACATTCCATGACACTGAGAGTGATGTTCTCCCGAGGCCGACCTCATCGCCACGGCAAATCAGGATGTCGGACGCGTAAGTGAGATGAACGAGCTTCTGCTGATGACAAGGCAAGCAACCCCTGCCAAGGGCCGTGGGGGGGGGGGGGGAGGGACAGCGTTAAGCTGGCCCGCAGCGCTTGATTCACATTCCTAGGCGACATCTTCCGGGCGTGGCATTTTAAAACGAGACAACGTCTGTATGCTGTCGGTTCAACTCAGGCACACATGAAAAAACAAAAGCTCTGACTGCCTTTCCATTTTTGCTTTAGACGCGGTCGGCCTTAAATAAATAAAGTCTATTCTCTAAAGTGAGGACAACGAACATTGCACTGAAACATGGTGGTGTTTTGCTGCAGAGTGCAAAAAGTATGTTTTAAATTCATGTACAGCAGAGATTCTCCTCCACAGATGCATTCTTGATGTTTTATCCAAATTATTCAGCAATCCTACAACATGGAGACGGAGGAAATGACCATACTTGCATTTCTGCAATCTTTACCGACTCCTATTGAAAGCCTCATCTGTTTACAGTCACCCTTTTAATTTTGTTCTGTTCAGAAACCAAGCGAGTCCCTTCGAACAAACCTCACACTATCTTCTAACTTGCTTCTTCAGAAACTGCTTTCTGAAATGTTCAAAATGTGAGATTAACTTCAGTTGAATTAAAAGCACTAATGGAAAATCAAACAGTTTGTTGGAATCCTTTTTGTTGTGATCCATTCCTCATGAGCCAAAAAAGATCAGAGCATGTCTGTACTTTTGGCATTAATTAACAATGTCTTCATCATTCTCTGTGGCATTTTGGTCTTCTGTAGTTCAAACCTCTCGACTGATCATCAAAAATCAGTGTACAGATTCCTCTAAAACATCAAAATGTTCATGATTATTCCTGTTTTAATACACATCATATTGTTAATTGAAAAGTTTAATCATATGGACAGCACAAGGCTTGCTTAGACACTGCACACATGTGACTGTTTATGAAAGCCGCAGTGATGACAAGAAAGCTTAGCAGTTCATGCTGGTTTTGGAGGGTGTGGCACGATACAGGGGTTAGGCTTAGGGTTAGGCTTAGGATAAGGCTTAGAGATAGGCAGGGAGGCCCCACGCGCTGTACATATACCACATGTATGTGTACAGCTCCACCTGCAGTGACACACCATCCCCCTTCGGACCCACCTAGAATGAGACACCCATTCCCCCATTGGCCCCACCTGCAGTGAGACCCCTTCTCTTGTCGGCCCCACCTGCAGTGAAACCCTTTCCCCTGTCGCCCCTCCCGCAGTGAGACTCCCCTGGTAATCACCATTCCATTGTATAAATTTTAGCTCACCATTTATCGTTTTTCTGTAGATACATGGATTTCGCACACCGTCCCAAAGCACAATAATTAGTCTCCGTGTTCAAACAGCCTCTGATACTTATCAGAAGCCGAGCACTTATCTTTGCTGGAGGGAATACAGCCAGGATCCACCCAACATCCACATGCAATTAGCAGAAACCGCAGCTCGACTCTGCCATGTGCTTAGAAGATTATCTGTCACACTCTTATGTTTTATATGCAAGCTTGCTTAAGATAATTACTCTTCATTTACTTAACTTCCATTTTTTGTACTTGGTTAATTGAAAATGTGTCTGCGTATTCAGGAATGACCTTTTGTAGCTAAAAACGACCCCCTAGTCATTTTTTATTAAAACATTCACAGCATTTTGGAAAGAAGCTGTCAGTGACTACGCTCCAGACTCATACAACAGAACCAATGACCAAGTGAACGGGCAGACGAGGAAATGTACACACTCATTGAGTGTCACCCATCCATGCATTCTCCACACCCACTCCATCCAGGCTAGTGGGCAGTTCAGAGATTCTATCCCAGAGAATCGGGTCCGGACATTTCCTCAAGTTGCCTTTTCATACATGTGGCACACAGCTGCAGATTGTCCATATCAGACACATTCACACCTACTAGAAATACTGCAGTTGGTCAAGATGGGGGGTGGCACTTGGGTAGAGCACGCAGGAGACAGGACATGAGGCAGCAAGATCACACTACTGACAGAAAGCCATTCCCTCCAGTTAGCCGTGTTCCTTGGGGTCTTCTTCGTGAAAATGACTCTTCTGCTTCTCCCTTGGATGTTTGTATTCTCCAGTTTTTGCGCCAGTCGCATGGTAGAAATGTCATCAATGCACCAACTCACGATAAATTCTCTGGAATTCTCCCTGTTCCATTCACACATGGAAATTACAGAAATGACCCAGACTTTGTACCACGGAGCTAGCAGGGTAAAGTCCGTCTCATGTCTGGACATTTGCGTTTACACATACTGCCCCTGTGGGTCATGTGTTGGAAAGCTGCATGTCTGAAAGGGGCTTTAGAGAGTTTGGCCCTAACTCTGTTACACCTGTCTGGGGATGGTTGCTCTGGGCTCAGCAGGCCCCAGCTCCTCTTGTGATGTCACATTACATCAACAGAGGTCAACGAAAATTTCGATGGAATATGACTTTCTAAAACACTGAAAAGACAAACATGGTTGAAAGAAAGAGGCCTAGAAAAGGCAGAAGAAGCCAGGCTGTGCTGTAGCGACACCCCCAAGACGTAGACATAACAAACACTCCCCATGGCCAAGACCAAAGCCTCCCAACGCTCCTTGCCCTCAGGGGGCATTTGCTTTACAGCAATGATGGTCCATTTGGCCAGAGGGTAATATCATGAAATATCCAGTAGAATGACTTCAAATCAAAGAAAATGAAGTGGTGAACGACTTCCAAGTCACACAGAGGACCAGGAGAACCTTGTAGCCTGAGATCGCGTTGGGTTTCATTAACTCTGTCCATAACACGGCACCCCCGTGTTCATAGACAGCGTAAGATTACTCTTAAGTAGACTGCTGACTGAAATAAGTTCTCCCAACATACATTATTGAATAACAAAAGTAAAAACTGAAGGAACAAGCAGGGATCCTTCAAGCATTTGAGGAAAGAAAAACAGGCTGGTGCCAATGTGACGGTGCTCTAGCTATGAGAGGCGCTGACTGACAGCAGAGTTTCCGCAAATAAACGCCCCATTGTTCCTGCCTCCGCAGGCGCACACCAGAGACACAGAGCCTTACACTCTCGGCTAGAGGCTCGATCGCTGGTCGCTCGGTTTGATGGACTGGCTGGGCCGCCGGTTCCAGGTCTGAGGGACCCAAGGGTTTGCTGGGTTTCACCCCCACTGAGCACTTAACGAATTTTCATTCATGATTCATTGTCAGATTCAAGACTAAACGGAAAGCTGCCATTTTTCACTGGCATTAAACCAAACAAGAGAATACAAAGTTTGTTATGATGGTATAAATGTAAATGAAAAAGGCGCACACCCACCCTCCCACACACACCCACCCTCCCACACATAAACACCCTCCCACACACACCCACACCCACCCTCCCACACACACCCACCCTCCCACACACACACACCCACCCTCCCACACATAAACACCCTCCCACACACACCCACACCCCCCCTCCCACACACACCCACCCTCCCACACACACACACCCACCCTCCCACACACCCACCAACATACATACACACACACACACACACACACATATATATATATATATATATATATATATATATATATATATATATCCATATTCCTTTACAAGTAATAAATGCAATCAGTGTATTAAACAAACAATGTTTAATTCATATTATTAGCTTTGAAATGGTTCACTACACATATGGGAAACGGAAAAGGTGTGAGGGTACTCTGCAGGACTGAATGTTATGACCAAGCCAACGGCAACCAACCTGAGTGTTGATTGTAAATACATACGGGCTATGGAAGGTTGGGTTCTGTCTCAACAGTGGAGGCCCTAGC